AATGGTGAAGGCCAGCTCATTGTGCGCCCCAGCGGAGATGTGGCGCCTTTCTCGCCAGACCTCAACTCCCGCGCTGGACTATTCATGTCCTTCATCACCAAGGGACCTGATTCTGAGCGCGGCATGAGTATCAACAAAGCTCTGAAGCGATACCACCGTGAGCGCCACGAGCACTTTGACCGTGTGCCGTCCAAGGCGGAAGATGAGAAGGAGCTCTGGAAGGATCTACGCCTCAGGAAGAACGAGCGGGGCGAGATTGTTCTTTTCTTTGCCCCGGGCGAGGCTGCCTGACTAGACGGGGACCTCGACATCATCATGCGCATGCGGGCGTGGTCATGCTCTGATCCAACGCCCAGTCAAGGCTCCAACGACATGATTGATGTTTGAAAGCCGACGGTTGAAAGAAAAAAAGATTTTTTTGGGGCCACGGAGGAGTGGCCATTCTCCCTCACACTTTTCCTCCTTCTATGATGATACCCGGCTTCCAGGTCATTGGCGATTTGGGTGGGCTTGGTGCATTATGCGTCATGTTTTACGTTCATATCCATGTGTTGTTCTTGTTTTTCTTTTACTCGTTTTGTTTCGAATATCGTTCTGCCACCATGTACTTATTCTTACGGCCATACCTCGTTCGTCCTTCTTTTTGGTTTGGTATCTTTTGGCCAAAACACCTGCCCTAATACTCTACGGGCTGGGCCCGCTCCGTTTTGTCGACGTTGGGTTCCTGAAAACAAATCCTTTCCATGGTCATGTATCAATAAATGCCGCACTTGGCTGATGAAGATGTGTTGCAAGTGAAGCTTGCGGGATGCGCCCCCGCGTATACGAGAGCAGAGTGAGGCTCCCTAGCTGCTTTTCAAACGTCTGTCTCACCTAGTGCAGGGACAAGATGCCGTACTTGTAGCATGTCATGTTGGGACGGCCAGCCAGGCATTCTGTCAGGCTGTTTTCCGCTTGGCTGTGTGGAGGGTGACGGCGTGCTGGTAACGAAGGTCCACCTTTTACTTGATACAGCCTAGTGATTCGCTTTCCCTTGCTTTGCTTCTCCTCTTACACCAAACGTCCTTAGACGTGACAGCACGTCCTGTTCCAGAAAGCGCGTCAGGGCCAGGTACGGTTTGGCCGAGTTTCCCGATTAGCCTTTGCAACCAACAAGCGGTTGGATAGGTGTCTTGTTTGGGCTGGGCCTCGGCAAACATAGACTTACGCTCCAGGAGGCCAAATACTTACGTATCCAAGCCTAGTGATAGGGCAACTGCCCTTTGTTCCACGCCGACAATGCCCCCCCTCCCCCCCTCGAGGGCACAGCAATACTAGGTGCGTCGTGGGGGGAAACTCAAACAAGAGCAATCCCATGGTAGAGCTAATGGGGCCCTTTGCAAAGATGCAGATATGGACAACCCCACGGCTGTGCATCGGCTGCATCTGCAGCCTTCACAGCCACGACGAGGCGAAGTCTCCCATATGGCCGGCTCATCCAATATAGTTCACCCAAGTGCCGCAGGCGTTGGAAACTAGCAGACTCGTCCCGCATAGCCTGCAGCTCACGTCTCTGCCCGTGATTTGACGTCGCATCCTCTCGCGGAGGGCGGGGAAGACTGCCCGGCAGCACGGTGGCGGGACTACCACAGATGTAGTTGACCGGTGCGCATAATTGCAGACCCGTGCATGGTCAGATGGCACTGCCAGCCAGCACCAAGACATCATAGTTTCGACCCAGCACTCTCCACCACAACAGCCTACGGCCATTTACTCACTCCTTTCACTAATTGACTAATAAGCAGCGAGAACGTGATAAGGCCGTAGATGGCTACTCGTCAATTGCCCTGTCCGTCTCTGATGCAAGGCAGCGAGCGTCGCGCGCCCTCAGCCGTGTCTTGAGTTGCCCCAGGCCGCCCGCCAAAATATAACTGCAGCTCCCTTTCGGCCTGGCACACATTGCACACGCGTTGGCCTTTGTTTCTTTCCATCTTTGGTATCCAGTCCCTGCGCGTTTCCACCGTCCATTCGCATGAGACGCCCAGCAGCCGGGTGAACCTGGAAGGTCTTCATCCGTATCCGACCCGCTCACGCCTTCCCCAGTCAATCGGCCTATCCCGCAACCGCCCAACTGCACCTTGACTCAGACATGTCCCATGCACAGTACAACAACTCGCCCACCGAGGGCTGGCAAGACCTCATTTCTTGGAACGGAGAATTGTACGACCCCTTCTTCCAGGGCGAGACCAACTACACCCAAGCACAAGGTGGAAGCTTCAGTGCAGACTCTCAATTATCAGGAAGCTATACATCTGAGCCACCGTATTTGGTCTCCACTGCCCCATCAATCACCGATTTGCCACCTTCGCTCGACTACACCCCAGTTTCAGCCTCGCCGTCAGTTCTTGATGAGCAATCTTCTCTCAACTACGCCTTCACTGCCTCGCCTTCTTTGGACAAGGCGACTACTTTCCCGTTAGCTGTACCCCAGGAAAACCAAATCTATGGGTCCTTCGGCGCCTCCGACAATGCACTCCTATCGCCATTGGCAGACATTGCGGAATCAATGATTCTGGACACACGCTTTGACCGCATCCCAGAGGCCTTCTCATCGCCAACAGGCTCTCAGGAAAGTGCAGCCGAGACGGTCTTCAATCCTCACGTCACAGGCTCATCCCATTCCTTCAGTGGCCTGGACATGCGGGCATCTAGAGCGTTCTCGACCTGGCATGCTTGGTCAGATCAACCACGTATTATCGAGCCCATTCCTGAGGATGGTGATGGTGGCGGTGGGCGAACAGAGGCCATACCGATTCCTATCCCACAGTCACTGTCACAAAGTTATAATACAACTTCGCCGTCGTATCCTTCGTATTCACCGTATCCGAGATCCGATGGAGGATTTGAACTGCATAGTCACAGCAGGGCCATAGCGATCCCGGACACTACTCGGCGACCTGCAGGCTACAATCACCGCACTAACAACTCAGGGTCTGTACGAAGAGTATCTACAACCCCATCTCTATCCCCTGCAGCTTCACGTCATCCTCGCGCAATTGCTCTGTCCAGAAGTGCTTCACTTTCTCGGCGCAAAAGCTCTACACCATCGCCTACATCTGACTCTTACGGATGGGTAGCATATCAGCCCAATCCACTGACGAACAAGCTGTCGCCCATAACCACCGATGGCGTGTCTGGAAGAGCGCAAAAAGGGAGAAAGAAGGCTCTCACCCCAGAGCAACGACGTGATGCAGCATTGATGCGCATTGTCCGTGCGTGTTCAAACTGCCAGAAGCGTAAAGAAAAATGTGATCCGGGCATGCCGTGCAAAGCCTGTCTAGAACACTACAAAGGAGATCTGGTCAACCACCCATGCCGTGGTCATACGCTCAGTGATTTATCGGGAGCATTTCTTTCCGACCGCCTAGGGTGGCACCCAACTGCTCGACACCTAGAGTCATTTATCCCTACACGGCACTTCAAGGTCCTTACGGATAGTACTTACACCGTTCCGATTAACTTTGGGTTTGGTCCGGCGTTTCCGGTCTCTGTGAACGCCATTGAGCTTGACGACCACCCATTGGTACATGACCACATTGTGTACTCGTGGCCACCCGAGCCGTTCTCGGGACCACCCCACCGGCATGCTGTCCTTCCCGCTATGCTGTGTGCGGATGCACAAGCAAATCTCCTTCAGACCCTAGACTCCCATCTATCCTTGCTTGTAACGCAACACTTCCACAATTTCCCGCTATACTGCTCGCCATTGAGGATCCTGCGCGAGGTATGCATGTTCTCCAATTCTCTTCCGAAAAACACTTTGCATTATCGGGTGTTGCATGCCGCACTCAAGCTCCTTGTTCTCGTTCACGTGGGTGGCGACATCACACTACCGTCGCGATCCGAGAGCTGGGTCCTGGCACAGCTCATCAGCAGTACGATGAGCATAGCCGAGGCTCTCACCCCAACGCCATGCTTCATCCGGTCACAGTTTGGCGCTGTCATGCCGACTCTTGCTCATGACCTAATGAAGAATGTGCTTTCGTCTCTGGAGCAATTCCTATTGAACAAGGACTGCGATGAATGGCCTATTGCTGTTGCCGTGCTCATCACTGTTCTCATGACGATCGAGTCTGTCCACTACCATGCCGCCAAGCTCCCTTACCATAACTTCTATGACGAAACAAACGCAGCCATTGCGGAAGAAGACCTAGCAGTTAACGAGCAAGGGGTCAGCGAGCTTTTGGATTTCTACAAGGCATGCTTCTCGGGTTGTCACGCTAGACTCCGGTTAGGTTGGGAGGGCGAGTCTTCACAGCCCCATACCCCTGCGGACAAGTTCATTGCAGGCCTGCAGGCGGCCATTAGACAGGCCAATGATGAGGGGTATCTTACGCAGAAGTCCAAGGCCACGAGGGGAGATGACGATATGGGCTACTTCTTCGACCGGCTCGTGGTTCGCCTGCTGAAACAATGAGACGAAGAAGCTCTTTATTGCCATTGTCCGGGCACCGGGAGCGACTTCTTTCCGATCAGACCATGGTATCATTTTCTCTCTATTACTGTTTCAGCGTTCATGAGACTGTTGATATTACTCTTCTTCTTATACCTCTCCTTCTAGAACAACTTTTATTTTTGGTTTTTTTTGTTACGATGGAATGACCAGGTTTACGACTGATATGCTAGCATTTGGATATTCGCTTGTTTGTTTGTTTTTTAAATTTCCTTTATTAGATTGTTCAAAGCTACTATCTACCTGTTGTAAGTTAGTGTAAGAAAGGATATATCTGCAAGTAGATAAATGACTCTTATTTACCATAGATAACGCCAGTCCAGTCCCGCCGTGCTTTTGATTGTTTTGTGTCGTTGTCGTTACGTGTGTGTGTGTGTGTGTGTGTGTGTCATAGCTCATTATGTGGACCATTCTGGACCCTGAAAGGTCCACGAGATTATTTTTTTTTAAATCCCCAGCTTTAGGCGTGCATACATGCAAATGAGATGCGCATAGGCACGACCCCCGTTTATGTCGTCGTCGCAATGCCATGGTGTTGTCCCTGCGCCGCAGACCAGGCGTGCGACAAGGATACAAAGCACCACCTTAGACCCATCCAGCCAGCGACCCCAGCCACAAGGGCGAAAGCAGCCATGGCCGCAATCATGCGGCCCCGCATCTCGAGCGCATCGCCAATCTCCATTTTGGCCACTTTGCAAATCTTCTTATGCAAATGCCACGACGTCTTCTTGTTGTTGTTGTTGTTATTCTTCTGATTCTTCTTTGTACCCATCCTCACAAACCCGGCCTGCGCATCTTGTTGTTTCGGCGAAATAGCATCATGCGGCTCGACGTGTAGCGCCGTGTCCCTGCGGCCCCAGGTCGAATCATCCGGGTCTTGATAAGGTTCGGGATGGAGCCATCGTGACGGGACCAGGTAGGCTAGAAGTGACGAGGCAGAAGAAGAATAAGGGTAAGAAGTCGACGATGAGGATGAGGATGATGATGATGCATGAGCGTGGGTGCGGCGGGCGCGATTGCGATAGTTTACCAGGAAGAGCGATAGGAGGAAGGAAGTGAAGAAGATGGGGGTTAGGATAATCTTTTTATATGCAAAGGTTTTGGTTGATCAGCGGGGTTGTTCAATGTGGCCGGGTTGGATCCGTGTGTTTAGCCTACCCGTGCTAGAAGAGGCTCGTTGCTGTCGTGCAGCGCGGAGGCCGGAGAGGAGGGGGGAGAGGGGATCGGGGTTGTTGCGAGTTGCTCGAATGGGTCTGGTTTCTTCTTGTGTCTGCGCCGTGTTGCCTGGGGGGATGGCGGGTGAGTTTGGAGCTGATGGCGGTGTTGGTGTGTTGTGGCAGCAGCAGCAGCAGCAGCCATGGCGCCTATTCGGAAACCGAAGAGGAAGAATGAACGAGTTAACGGATTCGGATGGATACCATTCTGAGCGTATACAATACGAGCGGGTAGGTAGATCCCCTGGCTGAGGGCCTGGTTCAGCGTGGGGGGGATGGACAGCAAGGGGTGGTGGCGCGGCAGCAAATAGGTATGTAGGTAGGTAGAATTCCTGTTTGTATGTACATATAGCAATGGATATACTTAGTAAAGATGGCGGGCGATGCGGATCACAGTGACGCAGCGTGCGCCCACTCGGGTCTCCATAGGGCTGGTAATCACCCGCCCGCGTCCGCCATGACGTTTGAGCCCATGTCATTCCACAGTCCAGACTTATGTTCCTGGGAGCGCCATGGATTCTTTTTTTCTCTCGTTCGATCTGACCTGACAGGACGCCGATCTAGATATAGTATGGATGGACCTGCCTGACAAGATAAGCACTCAATCAAACAGAGGCAGCGCCTTGTAGGCACGCGGGGTAGAGCATGCACACTGCGCATCGCACGACGGAGCTAAGGGCGTTACGGAGTCCGACAACGCCAGGTGGCCATGTTGTGCTTATCCTACTTTCTCCGCTTCCGCAGCAGTTGAAGAGATCGCCTCCAGCATCAGCCTGTCTGCAGGCTAATCATATGTCGCACCAAGGGCTGTCTCCTGCTCGCCCGACCGACCAAAGGAGCACGGCAACTCGGTAAGTCCGTTAGGCCCGAGTGACCGAATGCCCGCAGACAGGCCGCATGGCTGCCTGGAGCTCTACTCGTACCGTACTAGCCATCCCCACGCCCCCAAAACCCTGTATTACTCCGCTTTCGCCGCTGACTTAATACGCAGAATACGGCGGACGAATCCTACGTCCGCGTCTGCTTCATCTCTTGTCTGCAAACAATAGCATCATCCACCACCAGCTTACGTCCCCTTTCCCCCCCCAGTCTACTGGATCCTTCCATCCCCCATAGGTAGTGTGAGCTTCTTTACCTTTGCAAACCCCTAAATTTCCGGGCAACACGATTATATATCGCCATATACTCATCAGCAGGTTTTGCCTTTTTTGCCCCAACTTTTTGATCCGGACGAATTCGCGCAAGCGAGCTAGGCACCAACCAACCGACAGAGTGGGACACGATCCCTCTTCATCAACATGCCAAAGGAGGAGACGTTGCCGACGCGCAAAAAGATGCGTAAGGGTACGCATAGCTGCTTCGAATGTATGTCAAACCTGTTGTTGTTGTTTTCCTGGGTGGGATAGCTACCCTACCTACCGTACCTCTTCTACATGATATGGTTTTACACCACATTCATGTATCAATCTGACCTATGCACTGCTCTGCGCATAATCGTGTTCTCTCCCTGTCCTTGATAATATGCGTGCTTTTTCGTTTTTTCGTTGAAAAATTCTGACCAAAAGTACAGGTCGTCGCCGCAAGATCAGGTGCATCTTTCAGCCCGACAATCCCGATGTGTGCTCCGAGTGCTTTGCGCGCGGCAGCAGATGCATCGATCAGGAACATGCCAATCCAGATGTTATTGTCGACCACCGAAAGAACCTTCGTGAGAGGGTCTCGCGTCTAGAGGCTTTGGTTGACTCTTTGCTCGAAGAAAAGACTGTCAAATCGGAAAGCCGGAGTCAAAGTGTAGCCGACACATCCTCACCAAAAGCGCCAAATGTCTACAACAAAGACACTTTACCACCAACACCACTTTCTTCTGAATCGCCATCCAACACGCTCAAATTTACACAAAACCAACGCGCTAAATCGAAACAAGGCCATCACATACCGATTCTTTCTGTTTTCGAGGATGCGGTAGGCTGTCTTCCTATTCGTACCCGCGTTTCTGATACTTACTCACCCGGCAGCTCAACAACGACGCTGAGGCACATGCAAAAGCCCACTGCGATTCCCTACAGCAATCCTCAACGCCCAAGCCCGAACAGGCAGAGGATGAGCGATACACTTTAGAGAATCACCACGACGAAGACATTGTCGATAGCAACCCATTTATGAACTCTGCCAAGCGAGAAAGAACTAAACAAGCACTTATCGCCGTGCTGCCTCCTTTTGACCAATTGTCCAAGATCCTTCACACCCACAGTGACTGGTGGGATATTTGGCGCCGCAAGTGTATGAGATCGTATGGGACTGAGCAGACGCTGGCTCAGTTTGCTGCGCAGGCTTTGGCTACCGGAAACGTCGGAGCAATTGCCACTGTCGTTTTGTCAGTTGGAATCTGTTCACAAGACACTGACCAAGTGTCACGCTATTTTGAAGCTGTTGATAGGTGGTTCCTGTGCGATGACGAATATGCTGCCAGTCTCGAGGGGTTGGAGTGTTTTGTCATGAAGTCCAAGTGGTACGCTGATGTAGGCCAGCCACGGCGAGCTTGGATTGCGTACCGCAAGGGCCTGATGTATGCACAACTTATGGTGAGTTTGATTGGTATTGAAATACGCGCATGTTTACTGACAAAAATCAGGGCCTCCACCGCAAACGTACTGGCTCTGTGGCACACGAAAGCTTGTGGTGGGCCCTGTACCATGGCGACCGCTTCTTGTCTCTTCTTCTTGGTCTACCATATGGTATCAACGACGCGCACTGCGACTTAGCCATGTCCGACATGGGAGAGTCCAAATATACGCACCCCATGGTCTGCATGGCCAAACTTTCACAGCTTGCAGGCAAAGTTATCGATCGCAACCAAGGCATGGCCGAGCAGTCTTTTGCATGGGCGCTACAACTCGACCAAGAGCTAGACGATTTGTGGAAGAAGTTTGATCCAGCTTGGCTTGACTTCACTCCGCTTCTTGCCGACATAAGGTCCAACGCCGTAGAATTACGAGAGCGGATCATGGGCCAAATAGTGTTCCATCAGATCCGTGTATACCTCCATCTGCCATTTATGCTCAAGGCGGCATCGAATTCGCGCTTCTCCTACTCGCGCACAGTCACCTTGAACGGCTCACGAGAAGTTCTACGCCTCTACCAGGTGTTGCGAACTGGTGGGGTAACGCCAATCTACGAGTGCAAGGCCATTGACTTTCTCGGATTCACCTCCGCAGTCCTTATGCTGATTGGCCTGCACAACGGCACGCCCGCGCAGTCGGCAGCCTCGAGCTCCAACGCCAAAACGACTGAAGAAGACGTGCGCATGATTGAAGGCTGTATTGACATCTTCCGCCGCGCTTCAAGCGAAAAGGGAGGCAATGTTGCCGCGCAATCCGCAGAGGTCCTGGAGAAGATGATGGCCAAGTTCAAGGGCACAAGCACCGACGCAGACGACTTGTGCAACGCACCTTCAAGTTTCGTCATCCCTTACTTTGGCACCGTCTCCATCAAGCGAGGCGGCCAGCTAGTAAAACCTCCAACACCTGCCGGTCGCTCGCCCGCCACAGTCAGCTCTCGATCGCCCAGCGCATCGCACCAGCTCTTCACTCCCCCCTCAGGCAGACACTCATCCGCCGCCTCAGACATCTTCTCCCAGCCCTCCAAATCCCTCAACGTCACCCCCAAGACCTCCATGTCCACCGCCACAGGCGCCACGGGCTTCAACCTCGACCCCTCCCCTTTCGTCTCCTACGACGGCTTTTACAACTGGAACAACCTCAACGCCGACGACGGTTCCACAACGGGCACTTCGGTCCTCGACTCCCAGATGCACAATGAGGGCATGAATAGCTTCTCGCTCCCCACTAATAACTTCTCCTGGCAGAATATGCCCATGGATATCGATCAGGATTGGTCGTGGTTTCTCAACGATGCCCAGACGACGCAGGGTATAGCTACGGCTACGCCTGCTCAGCCCGTCCCGCTTGATGCGTTCAATGCCCAGGGCTTCACCGGCTTTGGTTGAAGTAAATGAAAAAAAGCAACTTTGCATGTTCGACAAGTCTCTTACCAAAAACCACCGGCGGGCTCGGGGGAGTGCGTTTTCTCTCTCTCTTTTTTGGGGGGGAGCTTTCCTGGTTTGAAATGCTAGTCTCCGATCAACGGCCTTGTTTTTAGTCTTTTTTTCTTGCTTTCTTTCTTTTTTTGTTGCTTGCTCACAATCGCTCATATTCCAAAGAGATGAACAAAGGCATTTGTATAATACCAGAGTATCATGCTCATGAAGTTTTTTTTGGCGTACTTGGAATTTGCGGCATTCTGGCATTCTAGATTTGGGGCCATGCAGCATGATTAGATACTCCACTTTGACTACATTCTAAGACCTGATACATGAAAGTCTTGTTTATTTATATCTTTGTAATGCTCTGCAAGCACTTCAACATATCTACAGAGTCCAAATGACAATCCTTCCATCCACGCCAGTAGAACTGATCTTGGTGACCCCACTTCCGCTCTCCTCAAAGCTGCGGATCGTGTTGATGGTGTTCTGGTGCACAGTCTTGAGCTTGGTGTCATCCGTGCCCGACTTGCCCTTGAGATCCATCTGCCTAAACATGTTCAGTGCGCTCTCCTCGCGCTGATCCGCCAGGCCAGGGCGGCTCTTGGTCTCCAGACTTCCAGTCAATTGCCAGCCAGACTCGTTGCCCTTGAGACGGAAGGCCTCGCAGTTGTACCCAGCAGCAATGATCTCATCCTCTGAGCTCCAGATGAGCGACATGAAAGGCAGTACTTGTGTGCTGACGCTGACAATGGCGCGAGGAGCTTGCTCAGGGCCACTGGGATAGACAACAGTAAGGGTGCTGTCGTGAGCAGCAAAGGCAAGAGCGTTACCCGAGGGAGAAAAGGCAACGCTGTGAATCCATCCTGCAGTGCTGTTCAAGTATTCACCACATACAGTGTTAAAAGGCAGACGCTCTCCCCAAGCCGAGGGCTCCGGACGCTCGTCGACGCCCTTGACAAAGGAAGAGAGCACGCGAGCGTGTCCATCGGTGGAGCCTGCCGCGAGCAAGACCGAGTTGGGGTGCCACGAGACACATGTAACGGTGGAGCGGATAGGCTTCTTGAGGTGCTTAGAGACCCACCAGTTGTCTTCCTCCTCAAAGTAGCACACGGGGATCAGGCGAGCACCCGATCCAACGGCAAACTTGGTCTCGGAGGGGGCCCAGCGAACGCACGTAGCGGCTCGGTTGATTCGGAGGAGCACCAATGTTGGCTTCCAGCCCTGCGGTGAAGGCTCCCATACGTAGGCATTGCGATCTGTACAGTTCTGATTAGCTTTACAAGTCAATAATAGAGTGTAGCTTCAAGCTCTGCTTACCCTGCGAGCAAGTCACAATCTTGCCAGATTTCGGCGCAATGTCCACGCCTGTGACTGTCTTGTCGTGACCCGTTAGCTCATCCTTGGGCTTGTATCCGTTGCCGCTCCTCTGGAAGACGTCGACGTTGTTCTCGCGGGCAACAGCAAGTGTTTGGCGATCAGCGGAGAAGGAGTGATCCGCAATGGGAGAGTTAAAGAGATGGTGGACTTCGGGGCCGGGCATGATGTTTTTTCGTTTGAAGAGTGTAGATGGAGATTGTAGAAAAGAGGGGTTGCAATAGGAGACTCTCTACTACTGCAATTGGGGGAGTGTTGTGTTGGTCGAGGTGGTGGAGCTTTGGGCTGTGGGAGCCTTGGTGACGTGGGGCTCTATGCTCTGGCTTGCGATGCACACCCGGCGCACGGGCGTCTTTCTTGGCTCCTCCGAAAAGTTCACGGCGCCCGCAGAGCCAACGTGAACCGCGAATTGGGAGGGAAGCAAGGACAGCGGACATTTGCATAGTACGGCAGCACCCAATTGACCCCCTCTTATCATCCAGACCATTGCTAATACAAGCAAAAGAGTGCTTCGCTCAAAAACATACCGCCACAATGATTCTCAGGCGCCCACTTCTCAATGCGACATCTGCCGCCGTATCAATACCAAAGACATGCGTGCGCAACCTTCAACACTCAATTCCCATGCGCCCGGTCCCCAAACCGATACCCTTTATCCCCGACCACACGGCCTTCCTCAGCGCAATCGGCCGCGGCCTCTCTGCACACGCGACAAAGATCCCCTCATGGGAAGCCCTCTTCACACTGACCTCGCCGCAACTGAAGGAACTCGGTGTTGAGCCCGCCCGCGCAAGGCGCTACCTGCTGCACTGGCGCGAGAAGTTTCGAAATGGCGAATATGGCATTGGCGGGGACTGTAAGCACGTCACAGATGGAGTTGCCGAGCTGAAGGTCGTCGAGGCTCCCGTGCCGCCGAACCCCCAACTCGGAAATACGATAAGTCCTCGCTCAGCACTTGCAACGGCGACACATGATCCAGGGACTAGGAAGTTGGTTGTTAATGTGCCGGTTGGTGCGGACACACCTCCTGAGCCTGTAGAAACGTTGCCAAAGGTCCAGGGTGTTGTTGTAAAGGGTGCCAACACTATCAAGGGTAGTTTCGTGGAGCCTGTAAAGGGAAGCGGTGGTCTTCGTGCTAGGATACGGCTGCAGGAGGGTATTTGGGAAGAGAGGAGGGGACACAAGGTTGATGGTGGTGAGAGGAGAAAGGCAGAGGTGAGGGCGAAGAGGAGGGCTGCTGAGAATAAGGAGAAGGCGAGGTAGATGTAGAGAGCAGATGGAGATACGTTTGCTTGTACTATGAATAAATGTATCATGTTAAGATTTCTATGTGTGTGACTTTTGATGACTAGTGATTGCAATGTAGACAGGTGCAATATTACAGAACTGTCCTGTTCTTTGTACTAATTTCTTCTGAGAAGAATGTTGGGGCAGAAGATGAGAAGTTCATGTGTAAACTTCCAAAGAAAAAAAGCATGTAAACATGTTAATTCTACGTGAACCCCCCAGTATTCATCAAGCCCTGTTACCCACAGCTTCAAGATTCCAGTTCACACTTCCTTTTCCTCCAAGAGCCTCACACGCAGTCTCTTGACCACCCCCAACATAATCACATCAAACCCTACTTTCCCTCAAAAAAAGAGTCAGCAAACTATCCCAAACCAACCCTCAGAAAATAAAACATAACCAAGAAGTCCCCCCCAAAAAATCAACTCAGAACATAATCTTGTAATTCTCGCACACCAACAACCACAACCACCACCAACAATGAAGGGGTGAAGGGTCATCTACTACGCAGTATCTGAACCACGGAAAGCATTTTCTTTTTTGCTATCCATTGTCATCATAGCTGATTTCTCTTCTTCTTCTGTCTCGTTTTCTCTCTCTCTCTGAAACGAAACAGAAGCAGAAATTCATATACATATACAAGACGGGGAAAAGAAAAAACAAGAAAAGAGAGTCGTTATACTTACAAACATAATAATTCTCCTTGTCTTTTGCTTTGTCCTGTTGGATGGGGCAAAAAAGCAAAAAAAGAAAGCAAAAGTGATATATAGTATACCTATTTGGTCAGGATATACTTCTCCACCCGTAGAGAAGTTCTTAAATATAACGATTTCCATCTGTTAGGAACAATATGTTGATTGAGTAGGGGAAAAAAAGGGGGGGCGCGAGTGCGAGTGCGAGGCGGGGTGGGGGGGTATACTCAATAACCCCCCCTACCCAAAGCATTTCGATTGTATAAGAAGGGGTACGTCGGTCCCATGGAAGTAAAAGTATTTAGCCATTCAATAGCGAAGTAGGGTTTAAAGGGTTTAAAGGGTTTAGAGGGTTGAGTGAGGGAGTGAGAGAGTAAAAAAGGTGTGGTTTCGGGTCCGAGGGGGGTTGTTGGCAGCAACCATTGGGCACGGTTGGGAACCTTGGGCGCTAGTCTAGTAGCCCAGTACTAGCGTGATGTCATTTGTGGTACTCGTACTTGTGCTTGGAAGGGGAGGCTTGAGAAAAGTAGCGCCGACCAGTTGTCCGTGTTTGTAGATAGTTTCGTCTGCATGGCAACCGAGAACACGCTAGCAATACGAGAAGGACTTGGAGGTAATAAACAACAAGAAGAGTAGTATGAAGAAATCACTGCTAGTAATGTCACACAAAGAGGAACCACAATTTAAAAGCAAAATATACTATATAAAGAGATCTATCAAACTTTTTAAAGAGACACTTCCCGCTATCACTTCTCAGCACTCATTCGCTGTACAGAACTGCCTTACATCCTTCTTGATTACCTTTCCTGACCAAAATTTACATGCCCATGAGAGCAGCAGCGCCAGGCTCGCTACACACATAAACGACTTCGTGGCTATCGCTGAAGCCGTTGAAGCGGGTAGCAGAGCACTTGGTGTACGCGCCCATCTCCTCAAAGTAGAGCCAGTCGCCAACATCAAGCAGCTCGGGGAAGTTGCAAGAAGAGGAAATGACATCGATGCCATCGCAGGTTGGGCCCCAGATGGAATACTCAACCTGAGAAGGACTGTCATACCCTGAGCGACGCACATCGTACAAGACGCTGTTGCCGTTCTTCAAGACACGCGGCACGGGGTGCTGGTGGTCGAAGATGATGCTCGAAAAGTTTCCATAGACACCATCATTCAGGTACAGCATGTACGAAGTAGTGCCCAGGGTAGCATCGGTGACGGTGCGACGAGCAATGACGTGGCATGCAATCGTAAAGGCAGTGGAGACATAGTAGCGTCCCGGCTCTCCAATGACGCGGATGTGGGGTGGGAAGTACTGGTCCAGAGCTGCGGACAAGACTGCGGCCATTGGCTCGAAGGTGACATCGCCCGTGAAACCGCCGCCGACATCGAGGGTATGCATGTTGAAGCCAAGCGCGTCTGCCTGCTCAAAGACAAACCGGGCATCCTGGACAGCCTTGACAAAGGCCTTGGGGTCGGATGCTCCGGATCCGACGTGGAAGGCCACTCCGACAACGTTAAGCTCCAACTTCTTGGCCAGCTCCAGAAGCTCACCGGTGGTGTCCAGAGCAGCACCGAACTTCTGACTGAGACGACACAAGCTAGCCGAGTCATCAGTCA